ACTTGGTCATGCAGTCACTGCATGATCTACTCACAGAGGCTTCCTGGCCCAGCTGGTGGGGGGGGGGCTGGGTTGCCAGATCAGATTGCAGTGAGTGAAGGCATGAGGACTGTTTAATCCAAAACTCATAGCAGGTCAGCCATTGGGGTCAGGAAGATGGACTTAGTGACTCAATAAAAGGCTCTGCTTAAATTGATGTGAGACTTGTTCCCTAAACTGGGTGGGGCTGGACGCTCTTCACTCATATGCCTGCATGGACTTCCCCATCCATGTGGTTTGTCCCTTGACAGTATCTCCCAACTTTGGGAAAAGAAACACTATTGTGCTCATTGTAACAGTCCTAATGATTGTCACAAGGTGGAAAGCAAGAGATGGAAGATGTGAGATCCGAAAATTTTCAAAGCAAATGACTTTTCCCAAGACCTTGCTGCCTTGATGGAACCAGCACGCGAGGCCCCTTAAAGCAGCGGTTCTCCACCTGTGGGTCGCGACCCCTTTGGGGGTCGAACGACCCTTTCACAGGGGTTGCCGGGTACTCGTATGTGGGCGTATCTGCATGTGGGCCTAGAGACAGATAGAGGAGCGGTGTCTCTGTTCCTAAGACCATCGAAAATATGTGTTTTCCGATGGTCTTAGGTGACCCCTGTGAAAGGTTGAGAACCGCTGTCTTAAAGAGAAGGAGGGATGCTGCTAAACTCCTGGGGGCTTCTTCCTCCTAAACAGGTTCCTTTTCTTCCAGGATCCCCAGTGGAATCAACAAACGTGTCTCAGGGACTGGAGAGCTGGCAGCCCTGACCACTCATCCTTCCCTGCCTTCTGTCCCCTCACTCTGGAAGCTGCTCCAATTGAAGTGCCTCTGATTGTATCTCAGTATGAGTCCCCAGTCCCCCTAACTCCACAGGTGGGGGCAGCAGCAAAGCCATCCCTTCCTTTAACCACCACAATTCACAGCAAGAAGAACGGTGGGAGAGCTCTGCGGGAAACCCAGAGCTAGAAGAGATCCATTTCACAACAAGATATTGCAGCCCTTTGGGCGCACATCCTAGGAGCAGGTTCCCCGCCTATGGCACACCAGGTAGCATAGTGTAGTGAGGACACTGCCCTCGAAATCGAGGACCTGAGGCAGGTTTGTGTTTCTGCTGCCAAGGTGCTGTCTGACCTTGGGACTGCTGTGGCCCTGTCTCCTCATGTGTGTATAATGGGAGGACTAGAGGAAGGCCCCTTACATTGCTTTTGTCCTTGCATTCCTTGAGTTCAAGGTAACTAACTATATCTTTTACACATTGAAGTCTTTTGCATGGCATTCAAGATACTTCTACTCAGGCCTATATTTTTATTTTCTGTGCCATCCCCCACCTCCTCCTAGTCACATGGAGGAGCTTGCTATTTTCTAAACATAGTGCTCTGCCACCAGTGTTTACTTCTCTTCCTGGGTTTTTTTCGGACTTTTTTTCCCTCACCCCAATGAAAAAAAACTATCCTTAAAAGTCTTCCCCAAGGTAATCTTTGCTCTGAAACCTTCCCTGATCACCCTCCACTCCACCCCTTTTCTCCCACTGCTTTCTAATAACCCTGTCCTCGCCTGTACCGGAGCTCTTATCAAGGTCTGGCTTGTACTACAGCTCTAGGGGCTGCTGTTGGGGACAATTCTCAGCACTTGGATCTAAAATAAAGTCCACGATTTAATGGCTTAGCTCTTCTTAGGAGAAGACAAGGTCTGTGAAGACTGCAGATTCCAGGCTCCCAGGTCCCTCAGGTGTCCTGCCTTCCTCTCTTACCAGCTGTTTTCTTTCACACAGGAGTCCTGGTCAATAATTAATGCTATCAGAAGAGCTGGCACAAACAGACTACCCTTAGGTAAGGGATGGGGGCACCGGTGCTCGTCCTAGAAGGGAAGGGTCGGGGAGGATCTCCTAAAATGGATGAAACCAAGAGACCACTGAGCCACTCAGGCTGACAGGTAATTAGGTCTTCTCCTATCAGGAACCATAGACACCCAAGTCTCTATCTTTCCTCAAACACCCTGGGCAATATCTGACCTCCATTTAAGAAGACCCAGGGCTCAGAGAGTGTTCTCTGTCCTTGGGGCTGAAGAAAACGGTTATAGTGTCAGGAGGCTGGGAGGGAGAGGGGGGAGACTAGGGCCATTCTCTGTGTGTTCTGGAGACCAGGTTATTGACCACACCTGCTGGGCTCACACACAAGTCAGGGCTGCCCTCATGGGAAAGCACAATCTGTACCTGGTTGGCCTCAAACAAGGTCTCAGATGTTGGAAACCCTTTCTTTCCCAGTTGGATATAGGGGAGTGAAATGGACTTGGAAAGAGAAATAGAAGTCTTATAAAATGAGGATCATCAACAGGAATGATAACCTGCACAGTCTTGAAATTGACCCCCCTCCTTTTTAAGATTTTATTGGGGAGTTGGGGAAGGGGAACATTGTGTTTTTCCAGGACCCGTTAGCTCCAAATCAAGTTGTTGTCCTTCAATCTTAGTTGTGGAGGGTGCAACCTCAGCTCCAAGTCCAGTCACTGCTTTCAATCTAGTTGTGGGGTGAGGGGGGCGGGCCACAGCCCACCATCCCATGTGGGAGTCAAACTGGCAACCTTGCTGTTAAGAGCACACGCTCTAACCAACTGAGACACCAGGCCAGCCCACTTTTTGCCCTTTTGCAGTTGTCATGTGAGACAAAATGTTGGGGTGTGGGCAGGAGGCTTAAATTGGGGGAAGATTGTACAATGTTTCGCTGGGGAAGGAGTTTCTCAGTTTAGGGCTATAAATGCATAGCTTGTGACAGGCTTGAGGGGCCATGTTTTCGTTTTGTTTTGTTTTTTAGCTGAGCCATCCTGCCACCTGTTGGCAGCTCAGCTTGGGCCGGGCATCAAACCGCTGTTGCTCAGAGCTCAAACTCTTGAGCAAACTCTTAACCAACTGAGCCACTCGGCCAGCCCTTGAGGGGCTTCTGTTGTTTGTCCCCTAAGAGATGTTTCAGCTTCATAGGATCATGAAGTTTCCCAAGTTACTACAGTCCAAGTTGAACTTTGTCTCCATGGAGTTAGCTCCAGAGAGTCCAGAGCCTCACTCCCGAAGAGGAGTCAGGGAAACTGCTTCACTTGGGAGAGGAGCAGATAGCTACTTGAGAGAAAATGGGAGGCATGGGTGGGTTCTTGCCACACAGCCTGTCTCTAAGGAGACCCTTTGGGGCCCAGAGCCCACAGATGCAGTGTAGTTCTCATCTTAGTGGGCTGCCTTTGGCTCTGGGAGGATTTCAGAAATTAATTTCCAGGCATTCTGTGGAGGGGACAAAAATGCTCTCCCCTTCGCTTTCCTCCATGCCTGGGATCAGGCCAGTCACTGATGTGGCTTTATGATATGATGTGATGTGATCTTGAGAGCCTGCCTTGAACGTTCAAGTTTGTCCTCTCGCCACCCTTTTGTGCTTCTTCACATGCATGTGAACAAACTTTGTCTAGTCTCCTGTTGATCTGTCTTTTGTCAGTTAATTTTCAGTCTCCCTGACATAAACCTAAATGTTATAGGAAAAGTTTTCCTCCCAGCACCACTCAAGATGATGAACAAGGGCTAAGACAAACAAAACAAAAGTGGAGGGTGAATTGCAGGAATATTAAACTAAAAGCTCATGCCACACCATGTCTTCCTTAGACCCACTTCCACTTCAAAATTCATGCACATTAGCAATTAACATTGACCTGACTAAAGATGTTTTGGATATCATGGGGTAAAACAATTTTAAAGTTTCCTTTTAAAGAATTCTGTTCTTCCTATCAAGGTCCCTCTCTTCTCTTCTCCTCCCCTTTCCTCTCCTCCCCAGGATTTTAAAACTGCCCACTATTTTCAGCTCAGGTTTTTATCAAAACAAAGGTCTGGCGGTTATTTAACTCCACCCTCCCCCTCCCCCACCCTCTGTAAAAAGCAATTCAGAGATCACTCAGTGTTATTTAAACAGATTCCTTTGGGGGGAATCTGAATACCACCCCATGTGAATAATCACAGAACTACTACCATTTATAGATTCTTTCTAAATACTACTTTAAGCACTCTGTTCATCTTACCTTATTTCATCCTAATAACAAATCTAAGAGGTACATATTATCCCCATTTTAGAGACCCAGAAACTGAGGACCAGGGAAATAAATCAAGTTCTGTATCTTACCTATTTCTTAAGATGCTAAACCAGAATTTGGACTGAGATAGTCTAAATACAGAGCATGGAGGGAATTTTAATAATTCTCACTGAAGAGGTATCAAAATTGTCATCCAGAGAAAACAGATCTCACTCTAGGGGGAAATTCTGCTGCTAAGAAATGTGATGTTCTCTTTTCTTCAAAAGGGATTGGGGGTTTTGGTTTATCTTTAGTTCCTCTACTCAACTCTGACCTATAGGATGAGTGGTCCCTGTAGATAAGAACTATCTCACATTCACTTTCAACATCTCAGGAGTGGTGAAGTGACCGGAACTGGGTAAGGTCACACAGAAGCTTCCTTTTCAAACCTGTTCAAGCATTTGCCCTCTCCTTCTCCAGCTCTGAGAAGCCTTCCAGGGAAAGACAGCTGGATACCTCTCTCTGCTCCGCCTAGGAGAGGTACTGTTGGGAGATGTGGAATTCTGGTCAAAGCCATTCCAGGACTCCTGGGGAGAGACAGGATTCCCCCTTTCCCTCCCTCTCCTGTGATCCCATGTTATATGCCCTTTGCTAACTTCCAAGGGCTATTGGGTGAAAATGAGATAATAAGGACTTGGTTGGGGTTCGAACATCAGTGCTGTAGTGCTCTCTCTGCTGCTCCTTGTGAACCAGCAGACAGAGGTGATTCACATGGTAAGAAAGGCCCCTATAGGCAAAGACTCACTCTCCCTAGCAACCCTGAAAAGAGGGTGGCCTAGCTAATTCCCCACTCCTTTCCCACTGGCTTCCTCCCTTGTTTTCCTCTGGACTGAAACCAAGATGCTCCTCCCACCCTTCTCTTCTAGGAAGCCAAGCCCCTTTGCAATCTACATAAGGTCCGCACCCCGGGGACCCAGGGACCCAGGGACTGCAGAAACTGGCCTTCCTCCTGCTGTCTCCCAGAATCCAAGACAGAGACCCCAGGTAAGTGGTCCGAGAGGTGGATTCAGGAGCTGCTTCTGCTTGAGGGTTGGAGAGAAGGGTGCCCCAGGGTGGGCGAGGATAACACTGAGAAAGCTTGGGCTAGGCAAACATAGGCTCAGGGCAGAGCTGGGATTGGGGATGGAGCCCTCGGACCGAGGGCTGCAGAGACCCTGTAGGTCTGGAGAAGGAGCAGCCCCAGGTGGGGGGAGGTGAACATCTCTCTTTGGAATACAATGGCATCCCTTTGCGATGCCAGTGTCAGGCACGGGGTTCAGCTTCCTTTGTGTTGTAGGACAACAGGACTCTGTCTGGCATGATCTTGTATGTCATGATGGTATCAGGGATACAATCTGGCTCATGGTTTATTCAAAAGGATCTTGTATTGAGCCACTAGAGCACTGGGTACAAATATATTTTATTTTTCAAATGTATTTAAAAAAAACAAAACACACCTCCAATATTCAAAGACAGGACTGCCAAAATTTAAGTTACTTCCAAGGTCACCATCCAGAGAGGAGGACCGCCTCTCTCTAGCTAGTGGGAGTCAGTCAAATGGTCTTGGAGACGAGTATATGTGAGTGTCTCATTACTTGGAAAATCTTGCAGGAATAGAGACATCTTTCTGGCTGACCTGAAGGGTGATTGTAAACCAGGAAAGCCGTAGGTAGGAGCTGGGATTCTCCTCCTAAGGTGATGCTTTTCCTCCTCTTTCCCTTTCCTGGCTAGGCTCCTCTGGGGAAGTGAGGCCACCATGGCTCAGGAGAAGTCCCTCATCCTGTTCCCACTGCTAGTCCTCATGCTGCTGGTGCTGGGGTGGGTCCAGCCTTCCCTGGGCAAGGAATCGCGGGCCATGAAGTTCCAACGGCAGCATATGGACCCAGGCAGCTACCCCACCAACGACGCTAACTACTGCAACCAAATGATGAGGCGCCGGGAGATGACGAAGGGATGGTGCAAGCCGGTGAACACCTTTATCCACGAGTCCGTTGTAGATGTCCAGGCCGTTTGCCTTCAGGGAAATGTCACCTGTAAGAATGGCCAGCCCAACTGCCACCAGAGCAGCTCCAGCATGAACATCACGGACTGTCGCCTGACGTCTGGCTCCAAATACCCCAATTGTGTGTACCGGACCAGCCAGAAAGAGAGGCACATCATCATAGCATGTGAGGGGAACCCATATGTGCCAGTCCACTTTGATGCTTCCGTAGAGGTCTCCAACTGAGACCAGAGCAGTGAGATGCCCCGCCTCATTATTGTGTCACCTGCCTCTCCCCTCTTCCTTCCTTGCCCTAAGGGAAATAATTCAAGTTAGGGCTCCTATCCAACGCAACATGCTTTCCTGGGCTGATGCTTGCTCCTGTGTGGTTTGGGGGGTGAGGAGTGAGTTGTGAGGTGGGCCCCATGTTAAACCACTTCACTGCTTCTTTCAATAAAACTCAGTTGCAACCACCTGAATTCCTGAAGGCGTCCCTATCCAGGTTACTGTTATTATGATTGCTTTCCTGCTAGGGGTAAGAACTGTAAATCTGGTTAACTTTGGTGACCTGTGAATGGAATCATTAAATGCCTCCTCTTCTGACTCTTGGCTTTTAGTGACCTGAGATCACCCCTTTCCTTGTTGATTCTTTAATGCCAATACGAATTGTTAAGTGTTGTGGAGGAGAGACTGTTCCATGATGTGACCTGCGAGCTGGACCCAGGCCAGAACAGAGATTGCTTCTCACAGCCCCCTTTTAGAAACTGTCTGATCATAATCGATATTCATTCTGATCCTAATCAATGTTCATTCTGACATAGATCAGGACCCCTTACCCTGCCTCCTGTGACTTGCTTATTCCTGGAACAAGCTGTTTCCTGACCTGGTCAGGCATGTAAAATAATTTCTGTACCTGGTAGCATTCACATACTAGTACCCGTGACTATCCCCCCCTTTTACAGTATATAATTCTTTGCCATCTGTCAAGTGCTGCGGGGATCCGTTCTGTCTTACAGCCAGTCACCCAAGACATGACTTGTATGTAAGTTTCCCTTAATGGGCTTTATTAATTATCAGACTAGAGAGGCCAACCTCTTTCTTTGGTTTTTCCCTGCCCTTTCCTTAGGGAGGTAGATTTTTAGTCCGAAGACCTTTCCATGGGTCTGTGTGTACTAACAAGTGTGGCCTGTTTTAGATAAAAGGAAGCCACAGGGGACATTGTCATGCTAGGTGAACTGACAGAAGGCAAAGCTCAAATACTAAAATCTCTGGCATGGAAGGAAGGACAGTGTGACCTCAGGAAGACCCTGCTCAGCCTCAGGGTGGGGAGGAAGAGTGCATGAAATTGTGATCCTAAATTTCTTTCTTTCTTTTCTTTTTTTTTTTTTTGAGGGAGCTATTACTAAATCAGAAAAATGGTCCTCTCTTACTTGGAAAGTTGGAACCTTCCATTTAGGAGCTAGAAAAGACTTCTGAGGGAGGATAAGTAGACTTCAGCTTATAGACCAACTCTAATTGGAAATGCCTGCCTAGACTGCTGTAGAAAAACTTCTAAACAGTGATGTGGTTGAACAGTAGCCTCTCCTGCAGGTATGAGAGTGGTAAGGGCATATGTGCCACCTGTCTGCCACCGTTGACCTAATGTAACCCCCATCTTTTACACAAGAGCAACCCGAATCTCAGAAAGGTTGTGACTTCCTCATGGTCGCTATTAGCGAGTGGCACAGCTGGGAGCAGACCCCAGGTCTCCTGGCTTCCCAGTCACCCTTTTTTCTGCCACTAGGGTCCCCTCAAGAAGACAATTTCCCAGTCTGCCTGCTTTATTACATGCCGCGGAGTCATGGCTTTCTCTCTTTGAGCTCGCTGGCGGCTCTCACAGGTTCCCAGACTACTTGGCCTGTGATTCTGCTCAGTTCTTGGCAACTCATCCTTACAGCCATTGAAAAGACTAGACTCAGCTTCTGTCATCACTTAATCATTTCACTTGACTTTCTATTTACTGTTGCATCTGGTTCTAGACAAGGTCATAGGAGAGAAAGTTTCTACTTCCAACCAGTTTGACCAGCTCTGTCATTGTCTTTATATACTACATTTATAAAGGTTGGGAGTGACTTTTTCTTATGCAAAGTGAGTTTTCAGTTCTGGGGGCTTTTATATGAGGAGGAAAGTGTCAATATAAGAAACATCTAAACCTGTAGAGAATTTTATGAGTTTAATTGAATCAAACTGACGACAATTGCTGAGAAGCAATATCTCAACAAATTAAGAAAATGCTCTGGAGAATGGCAGTTTTGCAGCTTCTTTTATACATTAGAAGTAAAGGAGGAGACATAGGAGGGTTACATGAAATCCATTGGTGGTAGATTTAGGGGGCAGGAGAAAGCAAAGCAGGGAAATCCATGGGATTGAATAAAAATAGAATAGAGAGACACATACTTCTTTTACATTGGGCATAGGATAGTAATAATTAACATTTACAGCACATAGAGATGGTATGCGGGGAACAAGATAACAATGAGGGGTTCTGTGGTCTCCTGCTTTGGTGATGTGGGTGTTCCCTAAAGGGTATGGAAAAGAAGATTACGCTGACATTTCAAAGATACATTACCTTAGATGCAAAAAGACAATAGAAAGGCTCACTTAAGGTAAAAATAGACCTTTGTCAAGGAAGCTAGAGGCCAGTGATTTGAGTACCCACCATGACCTGCTTTTAGTTAGGAATTTCTATGTTCAGACCATCCTATGCTGTTACTTTCGGTCTCTTGAGTTTGTAGGGCCACCATGCTAGCCTCCCCTGAGCTTTTGTATGTGGGCCCTCTTTTGTCCACAAAACCTACAGATGAGAGGGGCCAGATATCTCTGCATTTCTGGAGTAATAGGGATCTCACCCCTCACCAGCAGTGAGGATGGAGGAGGAAAAAAGGGAAACTCAGTTTATAGACATGCTCCCTACAGCCAGGATTTTTCTTAAGTTCATCTTACCCTTGTTCCTAAGCCCACCCTTTACCCTCCTGCTAGTGCCAAGAGAACACTTTAGTGGAGCTTCTGAGAATCCTCACTTGGAGTTTGTTGCATCTACAATATACCTGCACATTTACCAGCTGTGGCTTCTGGCTCCCTGCACTTTCTAGGTGTTAATCTAAAAATAAAAAGCAAAAGTGAGAAATGATAGGCATTTATTTGGAATTCAAAGGAACTGCAATTCAGAAAAACAAATTCAGGGGCCCGCCGAGTGGCGTGTTGGTTAAGAGCTGGCTTGGGTCGCCAGCTCTAAACAGCAGGGCCTCGGTTTGGATCCCACATGAGGGCCAGTGATGCTGCCCTCTACAGCTAAGATGGTAAACAACAGCTTGACCTTGAGCTGGGCTGCTGTGAGTCACCAGCGACAGCGTAGGCTGCAGCGGGTTGCCATGGGTTACCGTGTGCGGCCACAGCCAGTGTGAGCTGCCAAGAGCTGCTATGAGTGGCCGTTCAGAGGCCAGCGACAGATCTGCCTCATCTGGGAAGAACTCAATGATAATACCAACATGGGCCAGTGAAATGACTTCCACCACAACTAGACTGAAGAACAAAAGGACAGCAACTTGTCTGTTCCCCTCCCCCGATTCCCCAGCACTGTTCCCCTCATCCAATCCCCCAATTAAAAAAAAACAAACAAGAACAAATTCAGGCAGTGTCGTGAGCAGGATGTGGCTATCAAAGTAGCAGTCTCACACACGTTTGTGTCTTTTCACAATGCCAGACTTTATTAGAATAAAGTCTGGATCTAGTCCAACTGACTCAGTTTACCATGGGCATTAACCAAGTCTCTGGCCAGAGGATGGTCTTCAATAGTTAAAGTAGAGCGGTTTCACACAAGAGGGTCACTAAGGTTTATTGTAAGCAATAGGGTTAGGCAAGGCGAACAGAGTCATACAAAAGAAGGATGAGAGAGAGTCCGGTGTTCAGCGACAGTCCCTATGGCGCTGGAGTGTGTAGCGTTGAATGTCAGGCCTGGCTGATGAGACGGTCAGGAGACATGGCTTCACGTGCTCCGTCCGGATCGAGTGCAGGTACAGCTGTCAGCTCCTCAGTTGTGGCCTGAGTGATGAGCTGTCAGAGAGCTCTGATTTTATGCTCAAGACTCTGTATAGTGTACTAGTCACCTGCAGTTCGATAAAACTCATCTGCAGTCCGATAAAACTCATCTGCAGTCCGATAAAGCCGTCCAGGTGGTCACACTCCACCTTGCTCTGGAGTTATCTGGTTAGCGCGTTTACTGGGTAGGATTTACACGTGATGTTCTGGCATGACTGTCACTTTGTGACTGACAAAACTATCAAAATTGTTAGAGTCCATTTTGTGTTCATTATTAATGTTCTATACAGGCAGAAACCCAAATAGTGTTCTCCATTTACAGGGGAGGGTCTCAGGGTTCATGAGCCTCATGTATGTGGGGAAAAGGGAGGAAGATGAGGTAAAGTGTATTAAAGAAGAGTTTGCTGGTGCTAAATGTGGTAGGGTTAGATTTGTACTTCATGGATTGGTTTGAGATTTGGCTAGAACTGTATTTCATTGATTGGTTAGCGATTCGATCATCAGCAAAGTCCAATTTTATCAGTCTTTCCCAACAGGATATTCTCATTCTTACTGACTTCTTGGAGTGATTGTGGTTTGGTCCAGTTTGGAAGATTAAGAAAAATAAGATGTGCAGGGCAGTTCCTCTGAAATGGCTATTCCGTATCTATTTTAATATTGCTCCACTTGTGTTATCTTTCACACCATCCATGGGACCACTGGGAGACTCCACCTGGGGAATATAGTGATAGGTGACAACGGATGTTGCACGGCCAGAGAGACAGTGAGGAGGGAAAGTGCTCTGAATAAGAGGAGACTAGGAGAGGAAAGACCGAGTTTTGTCTTGGAGGGATCAGGCCAGGCAAGGACAGAAACAGTCATCTGGAGACAAATCAGAGGACTCTGTCTGTGGGGAGACTATTGTTACCCCACAAATAAATCAATACTAACCCCTCCCAGGAGACTAACCCAGGCAGATTAATCTTAAAATGGAGGTAATAACATGTTAAGATGGGTATCTGCTTGAAGGCAGATATGGTCCTCTCCAGTGAATTGAGGATTACTGTTGGTGTTAAATTGACACCAGTGACCATCAGTTGACATGAGCTTTCTAACTGTGAAATGAAAATCTGCTCTTAATGCCCACTCTTTTCTTCGTAGACTGATTCAGACCTCACAGAGCAAGTGGGCACACTAGGAGCTCTGAATCTAATCACCCAGGGCAGAAAGCACTTTAATATTGCTTTTGGGAATTGATCATGAATGAGCGACAGCCCTCCACATACATGACTCATAATTTATAATTGAGGTTCTATATACAAGATACAGAATGACAGTGTACCTCCTGAAGACTAGACAATGGCACACCTGAAAGCATCTCGATACTATTTCTCAGGAGCCACTTTCTAGGGGACGAATTTCA